CCCGATCTGAACTATGAACTAGATCCTTCTCTTATTTGTTTCCCAAGCCTCCTATCCTTCTCCTTCAGAGCATGGCAGGTGGTGATTATTTAGTGAGTATCTGTTCCCAGTGCTTGCCCACGGGCTACAGGTTCCCCGTAGGGACTGTGGCGGCTGGCTCACCGTGTGCCCTGTGTCCAGTAGCGAGCTTGGCATCCAAGAAGTACTCAAGTGCATCTGTTTAATGAACGAATGGTCCATCAAAGGGCATGCCACCTACTACCAGCACTGCTGCCCATCAGTTCCCAGTGCTGCCTGTTGGCTCACCTTGAAGTCTGGGGCTGCCCATCACCTGGTGGCTGCACTGTCATGGCCCAAGATTGGGCTCAGCTGCAGAGTCAGGGCTGCACCCCAGCATTCCCGTGGTCCCAGGCTGGCTGCCTCCAAGTCTTGGCTCGCCTCTTGCCAGTTTTGTAATATGATAAGTGTTAAGCTCAGTAAGGATCCTTCCCTGTAGAGCCCTAGGGCTCACGGAAAGTGGGGAATCCGAGGGATTGGATGTTTCCACAAAGCTTTCCCTTACAGGTTTGGATTTAAGCTCATACCCCACTCAACAGCTCCAAGGGTTCTGCATCATTCAGGGGGGCTCAGAACCTGAGGTACCTAGAGCTCAAACAGATGAGCAAACCTAGGACCCCTAGGTCACACAGATCCAAGATTTCAGCTTAGAGCTACACATTCCTACACATGCGTTTATCTGCAGATATCTTTAATCAATGTAACGATTATGGAAGAGGTAAAGGGGCTGTGAAAACGCAGACGATGAGGCAGCGAATCCCACTTGGGATTAGTGACCCTGGGTGTTGGGATACATGTGGGAGTTCATCCTGGAGCAGGAGGGAGATGGAAAGATGCTCCAGAAAAATGGAGGTGCGAAGGGTGGCAGATGTTACGTGACTGGGGCGAGCCTGGAATGAGAAGTTCCCTTGGGCCACCTCTCCCCACTTGGTCCAGCATTCCGATGCTGTGCTGCATAGGGTCTCATCTATCAGTGACAAAGAGGTGGCTAGAGGCCTCCCCGCCATTGGTGCGGAGGACAAAGCACATCTTGGCCCCAGTCCCACTGTTCTCTTGTAACTCTCTCTTGTCAATTCTTGCAGCATTGTGGCCTACAAACAAGCCTCATGGGCGAAACACGCAGACGACACGGAGAAATGAAGGTGCTGCCCGCAGGAGCCAAAAACACCAGCCGTGGCCAGGCCCCTCTGAAGACAAAGGAAGGGACCAGGGACTGGAGCCCAGAGCAACCCACTGCCGAGGAACCCGAGTCCCAGCCAGAGTCAGCCTCTGAGTGGCTTGCTCTGACTCAGGGGTCCCTGGTGGGTGGGAAGAGCATTTTCCTGGGGACAGAAGAACTTTCTCTGCTTTTGGATGCCCCGGGTAGGCTGAGGTTAGGTCCTGCGGCAGCTCGGTGTGAACCTTCAGGGTCCTGTGCGAGCTACACGCACAGCCGTACCAGACGCTGTGAGGAGCTTCAGACAGCAGCCTTTATTCCTTCCAGAAATTGCCTCCCGGGCTCCAGGGTACGGCAGACTAGTCACCTGGGCGTGGTGCTGGGAGAACCGTGTGAGAACTCAAATGAAGGCATGCATTTTCAACAGCCTGGGGGAATGTGGAAGGGACCTTTCATACAAACTGCCGACGGTGAACATCCGTCAATATTTTCTAAACTAAAATAAACCTTTGGAGAAAAGGTAGCTTTCTTCCTGAGGGCTTGGGAGCCGTGAACGCACAGGAGGGGTTCGGAGCTCAGGCTCTTGGCTTGGGGGATAGTTTTGTTGTTGTTGTCACTGTTGTTTTTTAAAAAAGAAAATATCAAGACTTTTTATTTAATGGAATATTAAATCGAATACTTTCAGCCAACCATATTTTGCAATGTGAGCAGTGTGAAGGGAGAAGAGGAAATACACAAAGAGCCATTTTATGTTGAGGTCATTTTATTGCCTAGTTTACTTACATATATACAAGCGGACTCAATGTTGACTCCTCATAAAGTCAACATTCACAGTGTGGATGTGACTCATTCTTTCCCAATGAGATGTCCTCTGTCACTACAGACACGGCGTTCTTAAATCTCAGAGCATTTTGGCTCAGGGGCTTTGCTTTCTCTGATCCCTTGCAGGGAAGGAACAGCACTTTGTGGCGCGTCTCCTAAGGTCCCGGCACTGTGCTAGGTGCAGAGACAGAGCGAGCACGTGACCACTGCTGCCTCAGCCGAGTGTGCTGGCCGCAGCTGGAGCAAACAGAAGAGCAGGCAACGCTGTGCCCTACAGTCAGCGCCGACATAGGGGAGCATATAGTCCAGAGTAGGGTTCTCAGAAGTGGTGCAGGCTAAGACTGGGAGGATAAGGAATTAGAGAGGTCAGAAGTTGGGAGACATTCCAGGCAGGTGGAACAATTTTCTCCAAGATAAAGAAATACAATGTGAATGCAGCAAAGAGGGAGGGAGGGGGAGGTGACAAAGAAGATGGCATGGAGAGATGATGATACTGGGGCGGTGAGGAGGAACAACATCAATTCTAGCCTTTAAAGTATTTCTCTCTCTCGAGGAATGGGGCTAGCTGTTGAACGGTTCTAAGCAGGAGCACAGGATGCTTGCTTACTTTTGTATGTTCGAGCAGCCTGGCGGCGCCGAGGGTGGACTGGCGGAGGAAGGAGAGAGCGAGATTTGCAGAAAGGAGAGAAGCAGAGACCCTTGCGGTCAGCCAGGGGAAGGATGGCGGCAGACTGACACTGGGCAGGAAGCTCTGAGGATGGAGCACAGTGGTGGGGACTTGGAGAAATATTTGGGAGCTTGAGTTCAACAGGAGGCTGCGGTGAATGGACGGGAGAGGGTGAGGCCCATGGAGACGGGAACGACTCAGACTTGGGTTTCAGGCAACTAGGAGGGAGGCAGAGCCGCCCACTGAGAGAAGCCGCACACACCCAGCAGGCGGGATGGGGAAGGCGAGCCCGTGGCCATGCTCCTGTTTACACTCTCACCAGGATGCTCAGTCCTGTCCTCCCACCCCAGCCCCTGAAAGTTCCCCCGGCCCAAATGAATCTAATCACTGGCTTCTTCACTCCTGCTCCTAAAAAGCTTGCTCTGAACACCTGAAACGTCTTTCTTATTTGCCCACGTTGACCCTGCCTTTCACTGTGGGTTTAACCTGGTCTGGGCTCTCAAAGCCCCAGCAGTGGCTCCTGTTCACTGAGGTAGCGGGTTCAAACCTCTTCCACGCTCCCCAGGCCACCATCTCCTCTAACAGATGTTCTAGCAGCAACAGCAGCCCCCTGGGAGCCCGTCAGATATGCAAACTCTCAGGCCCTCCGGAACCATACTCTGTGGGTGGCACCCAACAACTGGGGTTTTCACAAGCCCTCAGATTTCAGAGCCACTGTTCTGCTCTGTGGTCCTGATTTTCCTCCCTAAAATCTGTCCCGAGTCCCCTTCCTCCTCCCCCCGCATCCTAAATTCTTGAGGCCCCCGAAGCACGTCCTCAGTTGTCTTCCCAAATGATCGAGTTGACTCCCGCGGCTTCCAGAGCTCTCCTTCCAGCGATCCAGTCAGCACCTCCGGCTCAACTCCCACAGACAGGAGTCCAGTCCACACTGTTCTCCTGCGGCCCATCACCTACACCCACTCCATCGTCCCTGTTTTCCTCCTGATCGACTTCACAGTTCTCCCAGGCTGGAGGCCTCCAAGTCATCTCCAGCTCCTCCCCTTCATCGCCGAAATCTCTTACATGCAGCTCCCTTTCTATCACTTTGTGCCCGTTTGCGATCTATTCCCACCAAACCCGCCAGCGTACTACCTCCATCATCTTCCTTAAAAAAAAAAAAAGTTAAAAAAACGTGTATCCCACTTCTTAATTTTCTTCCTTTTTGTTTTAAAGATTTTATTTTTATTTATTTTTAGAAAGAAGAGAAGGGAGAGAGAACAAGAGGGAGGGAAACAGTAGTAGGTAAAACATCAATTGGTTGCTTCTCACCGGTCCCCAGCTGGGGACCTGGCCTGCAACTCAGGCACCTACCCTGACTGGGAATCAAACCGGTGACCTTTAAGTTCTCAGACTGGGGCTCAATCCACTGAGCCACACCAGCCAGGGCCCGCTTTTTAATTTTCAATGACAAAGCATGCAGGAATGATTGTCATTAGAAGATGCTTACTATTGAGGTCAGCCATATTTAAACTACAGGAGGAGTCTTCCATAAGGGCTGTCATATTATCGGTGCCCAGCAGACACATAGGGGCTTCGCATACCTCATAGCTGGTCCAATCCACAACCCTTCAGGGAAGGCACGTCTCCGTTCAAAAGTCTGTTCAGAGAGACGTGAGTTGCCTCACGCCACATAGTAAGTGGAAAGGCTGAAATCTGATGTCTCCCTTATCCCACCTTGCGGCCTCACCTCGCAGGGCTGCATTGTATTAGTGATGTCTACTATCGTAAGCCAAGTTTAACACCAGTTTAAGTTCCTTTCCAGTCCATTGTCGTCATTAGGTAAACTTCACCGAGCATTCTGGTCCCTGATTTGCAACGCACTGGAACCTCTATAGAACCACAGACATTTCTTCTTTCCTTACAGATTCCTACATTACATCTCAGCAGTCAAAACGAAGTCGGGAAATGACTGGCTCTGTCCCAGAATTTGGTGCTGTGCTTTGCAACGGGACGGAGGAGGAAGAAATCCTTCCTGGAATTTCCTGGGCTGGCTGCCAGCCTCCCTGCCCACCGTGGTGTCAGGTACGGCTGAGGACACCTGGAAGTTTCCTCACCTCCCCCCACCGGTGCCAACTTGTAGGAGATGGTAGATTGAGGAGAAGTCTACAAAAAGTGAAGAGAAAAAGTTATTCGGTGACATGGTGTTTCTGTGGTCCTGCAGGCCCTGACTTCTGCAGGCAAACTTGGGAGAGGGGGAAAGGAAGAGGCATACACGTGTTCGCTCGTGCACAGGGGTACGAATGAGAGCCTGACTCGGGGTAAAGAAAGCATCTTTCATAGGTTTATTGGTCCATTACTTTAAGTTAATTGAGGTAAAGAACCCTTGGAAATTTACACGCTAACAGTTTATCAAGCAATACAAATTCTTTTGTTTACCTCAAAATGTAATACTAATCCCATAGTAAACAATGGACAGAATTTTTTATACACAGATACATGGAAAAAAAAAGTGGACAAAAACCTCGTGCCAGCATCAAAAATGCAACAAAAGCTCTTTTTTTTTTCTTTTTACAATCTCTGGGTTGCACAACAAGGAAGAAGAGGTGACATTCTTTTTAAAATTTGGTAGCTTTGTGAGACAGAGACTTCAATCTGTAAATAAAAAGGCTTTCTCGCCCACACGCATTCTTGAACACATTTGTCTTTATTTTCACAGCTTTTGGTTTGGCTTAATGGCAGCGTGGAGAGGAGAGAACACAATTATGCAAAGGACTTTATCAGTACCTCGGAAGGGTTTTTTTCCTCTTAAAACTTTAAATGTAAAGAATGATTTCTAAACATAGGAAATACAGTCCATAATTTGGACATGACCTAAGCAAAAGATTTTTTAAAAATCTTTTTCAACAGTTAAAATACGAGTTAGAAAGTCTGCTGGCAGTTTATTTCATGGGAACACCACGGGTGCCCACCAGTTCTCAGTGCACCCCCATCTCACGGACACCGGGAAGCAGGCGCTCGGAAGCACAGCGGACAGGGTGTCTCCTGGGCGGGCCCCAGCCTCAGAGGTGTCCGGGTGGCTGGTGCTGGCCGCCGTTCCGTGAAGGCCCCGCTGACACAGGCATCGTTTCAACACCCTGATTCACATGTTTGTCTGCAACCTATTTTCACCGCTCCATTTCCACGCCGAGGTGAAAGCAACCCCCCTTTCTTTCCAGTAGGGGACCGGAGGGTTGGTCTGCAAACCAGCCTGTCAAACAGGGGTGGGTGCCCACAGGTGCTGCCTGCCCTCACCTGGCCCACGCGGGGAGCCGGGGTCACACGGGGATAGGGGCACGCGTGCAGTGCTCAATCACTGGTTTTCACAGAACAGCTCTGTTATAATGGACTGAATTACGTGAATCGACACAATACGTTCTATGTTTTTTGGCATTTCAACCTGCAGAGAGTTTCTTTCTGAAACACGCTGCTCTGAGCAGCATCTCTGAAGAAGCTGCTCTGCAGAGCCCGGGCAAAGCTTTAATGGTGTCCAAGTCTGGAGCGTTCTCTGCACCTGTGTGATTTGCCGGCACTGATACTAGGTATTCTCTACAATCAAACATGTGACAAAAGGCGCTAAATTAATCTTTTACACGTTCAAACAAAAAAGGGGTTTGTGGTCCCTGTGTTTCCTTACATCATCGAAAGCATCATTTGGCAATAGCACTGCTCAGCTTCCCCCTCCCACAGGACAGCCCAGTGGTGAACCTCACTTTCTCGCTTGTGTCTTTAAGAGGGCCGCAGACCGGCCACGTCAGACCTTCGGTGCGGAAGCAGGACAACTGATTACAGTTTCTAAAACTCTTTCTATCCAGAATCTAAAACACACTAGTTGAAGAATAAGGCATTTGAATAGGTGTTGACAAATTCTCAAAAAGCAGAGTTAAGCTTTTAACAGTTTGGGGCCTTTTTAAAAAGTCTGGATTTGTTGATTTTCTAGTGCTAAGTACCCAGAATATTTGTGTATGGGACAAATAATCGTACTGGTTTAAGTTATTTTTTTTCCTGAAGTACTTATTTACAGGCTGTCTACAGTGGTAAAAACTACCTGGATAATACATATTTTTTCCTGGCCCACCGAAAGGAGTAGACAGCCACACCCAGGAAGCATTTCAAACACACGACACTAAGAAAGGACAGTCATGCCCGGTAACATGGTCCCCGCTCACCTTTTCTGAGGCGTCAGCCCTGCGGGGCTCCGGTCTGTGCAGCTGTGGGGAGCTCAGGCACCCTTCAAATGCAAACCTCACCCCCTGTGGGGTGGGCTGATCCAAAATGGGGTTTCTGGATCATTTGCTGAACTTTAAAAATCACAGGGAAGAGAACAGCTCCAACATGCCCAGCTCCATTTGGCTGGCCCAGGGGATGACATTTTCCTCAACTTTACGGATAAATGCCACCTGCCATCTGCACAGAGAAAACATGAGGAGTGGGAGGGCGAGTCCAATCTGTTGCCACCTCGAGGACTTTTGAAAAGTAAGACGCAAACCCCCATTCCCAACATAATTTTGTAAGTGGGGACGACCAAAGCAGTGTTCCCCCAGCCTTAGAATTAGACCACCCAGTTCCCATGGGCCTTTAAAGGAGGAGGCTAGGAAGGCGGGGTCCCGGGTGGTGAGCCCACGCCCTGGGCACGGGCAGCCCATTTTCTGAGCGGAAGCACCTCTGGGGGCAGCCAGAGCAGAGCCTGGCTCTAACCCATCCCAAGACCCGAACAGAGCAGGCCAGCACAGACCTAGAGGTCGCTCTGCGCCTCGCTGTCCCTCCTCTCGCACCAGCCAGGACAGACTGCAGACAATGACTCTCCTGCAGTCCCATGAACGGCCACAAAACAGAGCCAGTACCCGTGATTTCAGTGCTGTCAACGGCAGGGCCAAGGCACACAAACTCTGGGTGTTGCTTGGACTGATCCCGTCCCAAGAGAAACTCCACCTGCAGGCTGCCACGGGGCCATCACGCACCCCCCACCCCAAAAGGCGGAACTTCCCGTCGTTCCGTCCCAAACAGAAGGCAGCCACGCGAGGAAGGAGCAGCCAGTGCGCCCTTCGTTTCCTCACACAGACGGCGACTGAGAAGACACATCCAGCTCAACACCACGAGGACACAGTCTGGCTGTGGCTGAAGTTTGGCACGAAGACAAACTTCTGCCCGATTCACCGCGATCCCCAGCGCGGTGCTGGGCTTCGTTATGTCAGCTGAAGAAGGGCATCTGGTTGGGTTCCAGGAGCAGCTCAGTGAAATACGAGCCAGTCACCTCCAGGACCGCACTTCTTCGCGCTCACCAGGAATCGCTGTCGTCTTATTCAAGGGGACATCCCGACCCCGGACCTGGCTGAGCAGGACGCTCCTCCTCCACGAGGGGTGGTGGTTCCTTGCACAGTAGCCTAGAATCTTCCCGCTGACCTCACCACATGATAAAAAAAAAAAAAAAAAAAAAGAGCAGGGTCCATATCTGGACCAGCTACAACCGCCCTCTTCAACATCCTTCACGCTCTAAAATCTGCTCGGTTTCTAGGACTTCCCTCTCCTGCCTTAGCCTGGGTTTGAACCTGGGTAATGCAACCTTTCACTGCCCAGGCCCGCGGGCGGTGCACAGGGAGGCCTTCCCGCTGCACTGCCAGGTGCCAGAGCCTTCACCCCTGCCTGAGTCTGTCTGCCTGAGGCGAGGCGTGTCTGCAACGGCAAGTCTCCCAGAAAGTAAGTACAAGACAGGAGTCGGGGATCCCAGCACCCCGGCTTCGTGGAGCTGAGAAGGATGGGGTGACGGAGCCTCTGCGAGGCGGTCTTTGGCACAGAAGTCCCCGGGTTCCACATCTCACGGGGGAACAATCCCTTTTGTGCTGAGCGAAATGAAGAGGCAAACGCTTGGGGCTGCCGACCCTCGGGGGCCCGAGGGAGCCGCGGGAAGGACCGGAGGGCCTCCCTCGTTCACTGCCTGCTGCCCCTGTCCTTCTGGTCCAGCCCTCCCGCATCAGATGCTGCAGTCCAGGCTCCCCCTCCGAGGAAGTCCACCACAGGGACTGGTTTTCCGGGCTCTGTGCTCTGTGGCAGATGGAGGGCAACTCGCCCTGTTCCAGTTCTCTCTGCTGTCTTAAAGCAACACGGGGACCAAAGGGAGAAGGACAATCCCGAGATGCCCAAACCCTTTCAGAGCTAGTCTTCTGCCTCCGGCAGTGTGTGGGGTGGGGGGGGCTGTGGACCCTGCTCCCTTCCCCAAGTGCCCCAGCGATGAACCTGGTGTCTTTCTGAAGGGCTGCCTTCTTTCCCCACTAACCCTTACACAGGACTGTCCCTGGGCTTTGGCAACGAGCAGCAGACTACGGTGTAGTCTCCTTGTAGCCTCTGCCATGGTTCTAAGTATTCACCACACCGGGCGACTGTTTTAAAGCATGTATTCCATAAGGCAAGTCCTCACACATTCCTGAAGATGAGCATTTGTTATTGGGTCTGTCTAGTGTTTTCTACCAAATATCCACAGAGGGCCGTCGACCCGGCCCGACTCCACCAGCAAGCAGTGGGGTTGGGCCTGGGCACTCCCGGCCACACCCACGTGCTGGCTCAGAGGTAGAGAGACACACTGCATCGCCCCTCGGGGTGGGTGGGCTGTTCGTACGTGTCTGCCTCAGGGAATCCTTGCTAATCGTACCAGACCGAGAATTCACATCGAAGGGCTGAGGATGGCACAGGAGGGCTCTAACGGTGCCGTCAAGCACCCACCGATATAAAAATCACGACTCAAACCGCGACTTTTTCAGACACGAGGAGACAGAACCGAGCTGGTCCGTGCCGGCCGACCGCTGCCCCAGCAGCAGCCCGGCCGTGGCCGTCACGGCTGCCACGGCTGCCACGGCTGCCGTCGGGAGCAGAATGAAGCGACTCCAACCTGCCGCACGCTGGCCGCCGTTCACCGATTGACTTCCGAGGGCAGCAGGGTTCCGTTTAAAAAAAATACTATCACTTATTTGAGATTTAAAATTGTATAGGGATGAGCCACAGATGAAAGAACACACAAGCGACATACAGAGCTTCTTTTCAGGAGAAGGAAAGAAAAAAACCAGAGTTCCTTTTCTGTCTGCTTGTGTTTCTGTCGATCTGAAAAGCAAACCTGGTAACAGCTGGACACCGGGACTCCAGAGGCAGCCGGCAGGAACCCGGCTGCACCTGGGCTGCGGCTTCACTGGGAGGGGGGTCCGCTGCCGCTGGAGTCCCCTTGGAGGCCCCCCAGACACCGACTCTTCTCCCTGATCAGACACCAGTGCCGGTTGAAGCACCGCACGCAGGCCACTCGCACGGAGCTCACAAAATCTCGCCTGTGTCGCAACAACACGCCAGTTTCTCCCCACAAGGCTGCCCACACACCCGGGGGCACAAGAGCAAACATTAAACTAGGAATTTTTGGTGTGGCAACGGCCATTGCGCAAAGCAGACGTGGGCGGCACGGCCTGGCACCTGCCCAGGGATCGCAGCCGCCGGGAGCGACCCGCCTTCAGGACAGCAGCTACTCCCTGACGGGCCTGGTCTCCAGGCCACTGACATCTAACAAGCGAAAGGAACACATGGAAGAACGTCACAGAAAAAAAAACGCACCTTTTTTTTTCATTTTACACAAAAAGAGTTTCCAATCTACTGCATTCTAGTGTCAGAACCACATTCGGGGAGCGTGGTCCCCGTGGGGGCTCCGCGTGAGGACCAGGACGCTGGCCGGCTCGCACTGGCGCGGATGCACACAGACACTGAGTTCGACGGTCCTGTCCGAGCCAGGAATTGTAACGGAGGTGTCGCCGCCCATCACACGCAGGCAGCAGGCCACACTCGCGGCACCAGGCTGCTGACCACGAAGGACCTTCCACGGAGGGGCCACCCCCTCCCGCTGGGCTGAGACCGTGTGGATGCCCAGAGAGGTCGGGCCCAGAGCTGCCGTGCATGCGCCCTTGCAGCGCAAGAGTGGCCCTCTGTCGGTGCCGTCCTCGTGTCCCTGGAAAGCTGGACCCCAGTTCTCTTCCACCACAGGCAACTAACTCCAACGTCCCCAGACAGGAAACCGTAAGGAGGTATCGGAACGTCAGCTGCCGACTGTCCAATCTTCCCGGTGTTCCGCGTCACAGGTCCCTTCACAGCACGGAGGCGCGCGGCTTTGGCTGAGATGACCACGGCCCTCCAGGCTCCGCCGGGGAGGAAATACTAGTTAAAAATGACTGTCGGACAAAGGCAGGTGGGGATGGGAAAGAAATCCATGAGGACAGATGTCCCTGCGGTCGTTGTCTCAGCGCCGCCGCGCCGGCACGGCGGGGGCACGCTGGGATGGGGCGCCGCGCCCCGGGCAGGCGGAGGAGCCTCCATGGGAGCAGGAACTCACTTGGCCTCCTGTCTCTCCTGCAGCAGTGGGATGATCGACTCCCACGCTGTGAGGCACTGCAACAACAACATGCGCGCCCAGTATCAGCCTCGAGTTTCAGATTTCGGGGTCAGCGTCCTAACTCTGCCCTAGTCCCGCCACTCCTGCTGGGTCTCCTTTGCCTGGGGACACCCACACACCTGATGCACAGCCACGGGAGACAGGGGAGCAACAGGTGCTGGTTGTGAGTGCATCACCCTACGTGCACGCAAGGTCACGGCATCTGCACAGGGCCCAAGCGCACTGTCTGTACTGCGTGCGCGTGTCCGGTGAGTGGAGATGGGGTTACCGAGAGAAATCCTTTCCCTTCAAAGAGTCCAGAGGAGACCAGGCTGCAAACCCCTGACCAGGCCCCAGGTTCTTGGCCAGGACGGAGACACAGCTCCAGGCACGGGTGGTGCTCGCATAAGGCTGTAAGTCGTATTGGAATGAGTCAGCCACCTGGCTCCGAGGGGGTGGAAACCTGCTCTTCCTCACCAGCCTCACCTTTGCTCGCGTGGGCTCCTCCCGGGTCTCCCCAGAGGGAAGGTGGCGGGAGGGAACTCTGTGTTGACTGTTTCATTGTGTCCAGACGCTGTTATGTGCAGGGTCCAGCAGAAGTAAGGCCTGCCTGAGTGTGGTTGGTAGGGGAATGATATGGGTGTAATCTTCAGAGTTTTAATGTGAACATTGCACCTAAAATGCCACATGGTGTGCCTGTGTGTGATATTGTTATGCTACAGAATTACATGCTTATGATTCTGTAATAAAAGATTTTGTAATAAAAAAGGCTTATGATTCCCAAACAAGTGTTCTCTCTGCTCATTCTGCCATCCTGGGTCCCCTGTCATCCCGGATCCCTGTGAAGGGCCAAGACCGCAGAGGACGCTGGCACTCTCCTCTTGGAGCAGCACCCTGCAGAGCAAGAATCGAATCTCCCTTTGAGAAGTTGTGTTGCGAAGAGGCAAGGACAGAGGAACCACGCAGGCCCTTCGGAGGAGCTGCCCCAGGGGCGCAGCAGGCCTCTGCACTGAGTCACGGGGAAGGAGGAGGTGGGCGGAGAGAGGCATCCGGGTCAGGCGGGAGAGGAGTGGTGAAATCGCTCCCTGCTTCTCCTTCCCGGTGACTCTGTGGTTGCAGAAACTGGACTGAGACCCTGCCCTGCACGCGGGGGCCTGGGGGGAATCAAGGGGCTGGCTTTCGGCCGGAGACCCAGGGCGGGGGAGCCAAGGTGTTCTGGGTCCTGCTCTCTCCCTCAGCCACCATCTCGGACCTGGAGGTGTCCTTCTATGTCAGTGGTGGGGGACCACGGCCACACCAGCTTTCCTTTGGACCCTCGAATGTTCAAGCTTTTTCCTACCTTGGGACCCTGGCATAGGGTTGCTCCCTCTGCCTGGAATACTGAGTCCCCGAGTCTTTGTGTCTGGGAGTCAGATTAAATGTAGTTTCCTGTTTGGCCTTTCCCCGCCCACTCCACTTGCCCCCTCCCACCCACCCCTAATCTGAATGATGCCCCCTAGTGCCCTCTCCCACAGCTTCCTGTCCCTCCCCTCACTCTGCGGAGGTGGGATCATTGCATCAGTGAGTATCCTCCACTGGACCGCAGGCTCCTCCCTGGCGGGGGCCCTGCGGTCTCGTTTGCTCGTGTGTGCCGTCCCTGGCACGCGGCCGGGCACAGAGAGCTTTGTGAAATGTATGAAGGGGCCAAACGAGGTTCCGAGACAGGGATCCTGTTTGTGGCATTTGGGAATTCAAGGGGGGGAAAAAGCTGTTTTAATAGTTGTCCTTTATAATCCTACATGCCTGTATCTTAGGCATTTAAAAGCAGCATTTTAAAGTCTATTTTTTTTAAAACACAAACAGTGTTCTAATGGGGGGTCTACAGTCTCTACCAGATTGCCGGAGAGATCCACGGCACAGTGACAGTGAAGAGCCCCGGAATGCAGGGCCACAGCAGGGGGTTGCTTTAAGCTGTAGGCCCAAAGCCTCCGCTACAGTAACCCCCGATGGCATTAATGTAGCGCCAAAACCTCCATCGACTAGGGGCACCCCTGCGCTGAGGGCCAGGTGGACTCTGGGGAGCAGCTGGCCGCCAGGACCAAAGGGCACGGCAGATGCAGCGTCTGCTTCCGTCACACTGACCGAACCCAGCGGGCGCCCGAGGTGGGAGTGCTGCTCCCCAAAACCAGCGCCGCATCAAGCGCAGCAGCGGGGCAGAGGCGGGCAGGGGCTGCTAGACACACAACAAGGGAGCGGGCTGGGACGGGCAGGAGCCCTGCTTCTGGCTTTCTGCCAGGCCCTTCCGAAAAGCTCCGGCTGTTGGAAACGCTTCCCTAACAAGGGGGCCGCGGCCAGGTCGGAGCACTCACTACCTTCTCGTAGTACTGGATGTTCTTGTCGGCCATGCCCATGAGCAGCTGCCGGAAGTCCTGCCGCTTGTTGTTCTGCCACCTCTCCATGTCAGCTTTCAGGTCGGCGTTGAAACACTCCATCCGGTCCTGGCACTTCTCAACGTCCGCGGGCACCTGCAAGGGGGACGCAGACCTGGGTGCCCTGTGCGCGTGGCTGGCCTCTCCTGCCTGGCACCACTCTGCCCGCACGTCCCTGACGGGCCGGATTACCACCCTACGGTGGGTACCCCAGGCACGCTCTCTCCTCCGCTCTCTCCTCCGGAGGCCTTTTTGAGGGTGGAGCCCCTTGTTTTCCTTCTTTTCAGATCTCAGAAGGAACTCCGAAGAAGACCACCCGACCCAAACCTGCAAACCCACCCAAGCACAACAGAGACTCGTGGGGGAAACACCCGCTCTCCATTGGCAAGCAGGAAGAAGAAACCTTGCATTTGGAGTCATGCATCTTTGGTTCCTTTTTCTTTCTTTTTTTTTCTTTTTAAGATTTTATTTATTTATTTTTTTAGAGAGAGAGAAGGGAGGGAGATAGAGAAAGAGAGAGAGAGAAACATCAATGTGCGGTTGCTGGCGGTCATGGCCTGCAACCCAGGCATGCACCTTGACTGGGGATCGAACCTGCGACACTTCGGTTCTCAGCCCGAGCTCAATCCACTGAGCTACGCCAGCCAGGGCTTGGTTCCTTTTTTAAAACACAACAGTCTGTGTAGATTTTGCAAATATTCAGCAGTATTTGACACTGGCCCCCTGGCCTCCTGCATCCAATACTGAATCTACAAAAGGTTTTCCCATCATCGCGTGAACTACTGCATCACCTCTGATGTTTGGTGATGTCTGCCCTCACCCATCAGAGAACTGACTGCAACAACGAGACTGCGGGCCGGCTCCCTCCCCTGAACCCCACATTGCAGATACTCTGGAGACTTGTCCGTGCTCCCCAAGATAGCACACTGTCAACAATGAAAAGTGAAAGTTAGGCAATTCTGGGGAAGTAAGACGTGTGTGTGTCCAAATATATATATATTTATTTGTGTCCAAAAAAAGGAGAGAGAGAGAAATGTAGCAGGCTACTTCAACTTTTTAAAAATATAAATTACTTTATTGTTGTTCAATTACAGTTGTCTGCATTTTCTCCCCACCACTCCCCCCCACCCCATCCAAACCCACCTCCCTCCCTTGCTTCCTCCCTCCCCCTTGGTTTTTACATCTGTCCTTTATAGTAGTTCCTGACAACCCTCCTCCCCACTGTCCCCTCCCCGCTCCCCTCTGGCTACTGTTAGATTGTTCTTAATTTCAATGTCTCTGGTTATATTTTGTTTGCTTTTTTCTTTTGTTGATTAGGTTCCAGTTAAAGGTGAGATCATATGGCATTTGTCCCTCACCACCTGGCTTATTTCAGTTTTCCACTTTTTCTTATAGGAGATTGTCTCAAAATGGAACAGTGCCACCTGAATTCCACAACTTACATTCCGTTTTGGCGGGTTTCATCCATCCTGCACATCCAGACGGAGAACATCCGATGCGGTGAAAAGGTGACGGGAAATTATCACCCCGGTTGCTGAAGCACAAAGCTCGCTTCCCTCCTGAGTCAAGGAAGGGCCCCCCGCCCAGGCCCTGAGGGTCACTAGGGGCCAACGTGCCCGAAGCTGGGGCAACGCCCACCCTCCAGATGCTTCCCGACAACAACAACCAGGCCTTGTACAGCACACTCTGTGTGCCGGGTCCGTGAGCCCTGATGTCTCTGAGCCATGGGTCCCTTCCGGGCCCATTGCTACCAGCCAGGGAGGTTTCACACACAGGCTGGGTGGGCAAGGAGCCAACCCAGGAACACCAGTAACGGCGAGGTCACGCCCGAGGGAGCTGGACGCCTTTGGGACTCCTGAAGCCGAGGGCACTGGCCATGTGCTCGGCCACCCAGACCGTTCGGAGGTGGCTGCGGCACACAGGAGTGAGGAAAAGGAAGCAGCAGAGGGGAGGGGATTCAAACGTGCCTGTGGAGGAGCTCGACTTTGTGAGACAAAGACGAGTGGGAGAGAAAGAGAGGGCGAGGCATCCTAGGCAGCCTGAAAGGTAAGAACTTTTCTTCTAAGCAGGGGAAAAGGAGCCTTCTGCAAAGCACTTAAGCTTCTGGAATTAAAACGAAACAAAACACAAATACTTGAGCCCTGACTGGTATAACTCAGTGGGTTGGGCGTCATCCTGCAAACCAAAAGGTCGCAGGTTCGATTCCCGGTCAGGGCACATGCCTGGGTTGCAGGCTGAGTCTTCCATTGGGGATGTATGAGAGGAGACCAACCAGTGTTTCTCTCCGTCTCATACCCCTTTCCTTCCTCTCTCTCTACAAGTAACAAATCAGTAAAATCTTCAAAAAATACCTGACTGTTACTTTGGATGCCATGGCTGAGGCCTCTCTGACCTCTCCCTGCCACTTTAACCCACTGCTGTTGGCCACCTTGGGGGCAAGTGAAATAACACAAGGGTGCCCTGGCATGGCTGCTCCCCAGCCCCCGCCCCCCTCCACAAACATCCAGGGAACGGGCCTCAAGGGACACGCAGTGGAAGCAGTGGACGAGGGGCTCTGGCCAGGCCTCATCGCCCTGCAGGCAAGTCTGAGCTCCCTCACTCCTCTCCCCGGGCAACACTAGTTTTAGTGGCGAGTGAGCGCCTGGGAGCCACTTCCTGTTCGCTTCACCCACTGCCCCCGCGGAGAGGGAGAGCCAGGCTCTGAAAAGAGAACCTCGTGGGGGTGGGGGTGGGGGCATGGGGGGCACAGGGGGAAGAGGGAGGCGAGGCTCTCTGATTCAGGGGAGTCCTTATGTGGGAAGGGGGAGCTTTCTTAAGGGAATGGACACTCTTTTTCGTTGACCCACAACAATCAGGAGTCAGAACTACAGCTCTGGATTTGATGACGGCCTGAGCCTGGCTGTGGGAAATGTCATCCGCCCATCGTCTTCACAGCACACCCCACACCTGGCACCCAGGGGCACGAAGGGCTCAGGTCTCTGTGGGCAAGCGTGTCTCGAGTCGCCCACGGCCTGGCTGGGAAGAACATGGACCTGCCTGGGCAGCCACGGGCAGGATGCTTCCCGCTCTCCTCTGAGCCCCGCGCTGGGCATGCTGGGCGGCGGAACTGCGGACCGAGTCCAACCAGGGGTAAGGGACCTGGCTTCCCGGGGTGACACATCACTGAGGCGACTCCAGGGATGACAGCAGGGGCACGTGTGATGCCGGGGGAGAGGGTGCTCCAGAGTGACGGCACACGCCAGTGACAGCAGTGACACAGCACCTGGGCCTGCTCAGGAACAGCTCGCAGGCCGCAATGCTCACGAGGGCTCAGAGAGAGCACTCCAGGGGCGAGACCTGGGGGTGAGGGGTGTGGGCAGAAGGCGAGAGGCTGGGGACCCTGCCTGAAGGCCAGCTTTTCCGGGGCCCATTCACCTCCCGCCCCTTTTCTGGGAAACAGAAATGCCTCGTGCTTCCTCCAGGTATGCAGACCAGTGATTTTCCAGCCGTTTTCATCTCGTGGCTCACTTACACTAATCACTAAAATTCTGCAGCTCACCAAAGATTGTTGTATTTTTTGCTGATCTGATGACAAAAAACAGATGTGATTTTGATTCATTCACTCTGGACAGCTACTGATGTATTGGCTGTTGTCATTTTTTTAATTTGACAATCTAAGGGAAAAGAGGTCAGCGCCCCTGACTAAATAAATAGTCAGGTATCGCATGTTTTAAAAATCTTTTGCGGCACACCGGTTGAGGATCACTGATACAGACCATTGTGGAGCCAGAGTTTCGGAGTTTGAACGCCACACCTCCCACTGGCTGGATGGGTGGTTTTGGGCCTCCTTGTGCCTGAGTCGACACCAGACTCTCCTGTCCCTGAGGTTGCCCTGGACGTCCCGGGGCCAGGGCGGTGGCTGCAACACCAGCAGGGAGAGGAGAGGTTAGCCCAGCCTGGTGCAGACAGAACTGACGGATGTGGGCCCAGCTGCCCGGGAGACAGAAGATCCAGAGAGTCAGAGGACAGCCCGTGTGGTTTCCAGTCGGGGCGACGAGGGCGGCCACGGGGTAGAGGACAGGTCCGCCGACCAGGAGAAGGAGGTGCAGTAGCTGCAGCCGCGGGAAAGGGTGAGGCCTTCCCTCCCCCCACGAGAGGGGCCTGAAACTACTCGACGACCATCACACAACCCGATTTTAGAATGACCAAAGGACGCGACTAGACATTCCGTCCAAGAAGACGTGCAAATGGCTAACAAGCACGTGAAAGAAGCCTCCACACCAGGAATCATCATGGAAATGCAAGTCAAAGCCACAATGAGGTAACCACCTCACACCCGCTGGGATGGTTGTTACACACACACACACACACACACACACACACACACACACACAGGAAAATAAGAAGTGTTGGCCAAGATGTAGAGAAAGGGGAAACCCTCGTGCACTGTTAGTGGGAATGTAAAACAGTACAACCATTGCAGAAAACAGTAGGATAGTTCCTCAAAAAATAAAAAAATATATATACTTACGATAGGATCTGACAATTCCTCTCGCCTGAAAGGACCGAGAGCAGGGTCAAGAAGACGTACCCGCACACCGTGCTCACTGCGGCGTTATTCACAGCAGCCGAAAGGTGGCAGCAACTCTAGTGTCCGTCCACAGAGGAGTGGATGGATAAGCAAAATGCGGCATTCGCACAGAGCAGAGTGTTATTCAGCCTTAAGGAAGGAAGGAAGCTTTGACACTTGCCCCACCATGGATGCACCTCAAGGACATGGTGCTGAGTGAAATAAGCCAGTCACAAAAAGACAAAGACGGTAGAGTTCCACTGACACGAGGTATCTACCTAAAGTTGTCGAAGTCATAGAAACAGAAAGTAGAAGGGTGGCCGCCGGGGCCAGAGGGAGGGGGCAGTGCGGAGCTGCTGTTCAAAGCCACAGCAGTGAAAGGTTTCACCGCTGCAGAATTTCAGTTCTGCAAAATGAAGGGTTCTAGAGATCGGTCACACGACGCTGTGAATTTACGAAACACGACTGAACTGTACATACACATGAAAGTGGTTCAGATGATAAGTTTTATGTGTGTCTATTCTGCCACGATTCAAGTTTGCTTAATGTGTGGGGGAAGGAAAGAGGGGGCCGAGGAAGGGAGGGATGATGGGCAGAACTCAGGGGGAAGCCTACACGTGTAGGGTTAATAAAGGAGTCAGCAAAGGCCACTAAGAGAGATGGGCCCGGGAGCAGAAGTGGGAAATGAGGGTGTCCGAAACAGCAGAGCCATAGATACATGGGGACGGAGCGGGTTAGGAAAGCGGGGAGGGTTTAAAAAGGGCAGAATAAGAGGAATTGGGGTGAGCTGTCCGAAATGACCAGCTACTGAAGTCGCCCAGTTTTACCAAGAGGAGGGCTGCTGGGGTCAGACGCTGAGAATCACATTCTCTCTGCGTTTGTTTCTTCCTGGAGGGCGTTTCTGTGACAATCAGCTCACGGAGCAGAGACCTCCGTGTTTTACTTTGGTGACTGAGGTATTGTTAAGAGTCGTGCTATTTTGTATCTGAAGGGTGTTGAGATGGCAACATCCAATGCCAGTGGCTGGGCGTTGCTTATCACCAGCCACCAAGAAGCAAAATGTATCACCATCTGGGACTCAAAAGAGAGCAACTCTGAAGCAGAGAACAAAAGCCTGCAGTTTTCTCTGCGGCTCCCCTATCTCTCCTGAGAACGTCCTCTGCAGAATGTGGGCTGCTGAAGCGATGGGAGAGGGATCCTAGGTGGTTAGATTAAGCATTTTTACGCGTTTTGAAGCAGGGTAGTAACAAAATTCACTCAATATTCATTTAAAAATGCGTTACTTAGCTCTTTCCACGTACCAGGCATTTCTAGGCCCTACGAAACCTCTGCCCAAGTTTCCTTCTTGGAACCAGGCTGGAGCTGTCCCATCATCGGCTCCCATGCTGACAGCAGGTTTTAAAAGTCCCCAAAGATTGTATAAGGCAGGCAGGATCCCCAAACCTGCGGGAGAGGGGTTCACGGCTGCAGTGGACAGGTGCCAGGACCAACGACAGAAGCTGTGCAAGATAGGAGTCTCTGGGCCACACGCTGCCATGGGGGTGGAAGGCGGGGCCGAGCTCCCCACCCGCTGCTGTGTGAGTGGCAGCTCTGCCGTTCCAGGCTGGAGTCCCAAGCTGCTCACCCCCAGTTTCCTTCTTCTGGGTTGCGGACAAGTGGTCAGAATTTGCTATTACTCTGTCGTTTCACAGATATCAACTTTCCCAGATTCCACCTCAAAACAAGGGAAGGCCCCAGCCTCTCTCAGATCTTTGGTTAAGGTGCCCAGACCCGGACCGTCCCTGTGGAAACTGCCCACCTTCCCTCTCCTTCCCTCATCCGGGTGCTGCGCCTGGAACCAGTGCTGCTCCCGGGAAAAGTTACCACGAGCAGAGCTCACCCAGTCCTTGGGGTAAATCGACCAGGGCTATCACGGCGCCCACAGTGGCTCTGGAAGGTGGAGCTCAAAACTGCAGGAAAGCAAGCACAGCGAAAGCGCAAGCTGTTCGCTTCCGGGGTGTCTGTCTACTGCGGATGGGGGGTCAGGGAGGAGAGGCGGTGGGTCGGGAGGTGTGCTGAAGCAGGAGAAGCTTTAGGACACAAAGAAATAATGTCTAAAATCGTATGTTCCGACCAAAAAATGTACATCATAAGGGCCAACCAACTCAGAGGACACACCCGGCATTCCTACTGGCGACCATGGGACTCGAGTGGGAAGCGGAGGCTCAGGGGTGGCGCAGCTGTGACTGCGTCCGGCACTACGCCCATCTTTGCGTCCTCACGACAGTCCACGCGTGAACCCACAAAGGCCAACCAGCAAGCCAGTCCAAGCCGGTGGGGGGGGGGTGGGGGTGGGGGGGGCTGGGGGTGGGGGGTGGGGGGGGGGGGGGGGGGGGGGGTGAGGGGTGAGGGTGGGGGTGGGGGCAGAGCTGGGATCTGAAGCCTGGGCCGTCTGATTCTAAGTCCTGTGCTCTCTCTCCCCAACCAGGGTGGACTCGGACAGCCTGACGATGGAGCCCTCCTCTGCCCACCGAAGGAGCTGCCGCCCCAGGTCCTAAACTGGGGGTACAGTGTCTGCTGCCCCCGCTGTTACAACCTCCATCACGACAGCCCCTGCTTTGTCGCTGAATATCATGATTGCCACGTAGGTAGCAAAATGAACTCTGGCAAGGCTCTGCCTCCCACTAGAACGAGGGGAGGCTCAGACTGCCCACCCACGGCCGCGTGCTAAGGGAATGCAACTGTGCCTGGTCTGTCTCATGGGCAGGAAAGAAACCTGCTTTTCTTGTTGTAAGAGCTCCTGTGGCCAGGAGAAGGAGTGATGCTCCAGGGAGGCGAGGACAGCAGCAGTGGGATGTGTGAACGCCCAGGGGAGGAGCAGAGAAGTCAGCCAGGCCCACGAGGAGCGGAGCGGAGAGCAGGAGGCGGGAGCCCCCTGCTGCAGGGAGCCGGCAACCGGTGCTCCGGCTGCTCCGCATGCCCCCAGACGGGTATGAACTTCAGGCAGCCAGCAGCCAGGGCAGAGTCAAGATTTAATCTGGCATATTATTCACACCCTTCAGTTTCTATCTTTGCAAACCAACTGTCCCAGGCAGGGCTGAACATATATTAAATGACAACATCGCCTCTGACAAAGCTGGTGTTCAGAGCTGAGCAGGTACGAGTGCGGACGGAACTACTGACGTGACACCTGCTAAATCCAGGGTCCTCCACTTCCCAACTGGGCCAGCGGCAGAACGAGTCATCTCTCCTTCCCTCCCTAGCCAGGAAAAGTGACAGCTGGATTTATATCTGGGAGCTAAATTGTGAGAATGATAATATGAAATATAGACACACGGTATTCTATGCCGTGCATTCAAATGAGACTGAGACCAGGGCCTCAGCACACAGAGACCGCCCCATGCTCCAGACGGCCACAGGGACAGCCAGCCTGGTTAACAGGACAGGCAGCTGGGAGAGAGGGGCCGGCTGCCATGTGCACGGCTGTATTTCTGTCACCTCCCGCCTCGGGACGCGCAGGATGGAAGAGGGACTTAGCTCCCTGCCCAGGTTCCAGCTGCAAACCCTGGGCCAGTGACCAGAGCCCCCCGTCTTTGTCATCTGGCTCCGTAGGACGCATGCAGCCTTCACTCTCCTGTGTAGACGCTACGGGGTCACACGACACGAGGCGGCAGGTGCATCGTGTGCCTGCTGGGTCACGCCCACTGGAGAAGGACCGCTGGCATCAACAAAGCCAGGCAATTAATGAGCTGCTTTGTGCCCTGTCTCCTCACCCACGACGTGGGGAAATCACAGCGCCTTCCCCCGGGGCCTCGGGTGACTGCCACTCGGGTGATCGGGTGAAGCAATCAGTACATAAAAGTCCCACACGGAGTCCAGGCGTGCCGTTTCTGAGGTTTGGGTTTCAATTCCCAAAGCGAGTTCCTTTCTAGGTGTACCTCAGCTCGGCAGCAGCCGTGAGAAGCACGTCTCACGTTTGACAGAGAAGAACTGTCAAACAGTTCTTATGTAAACTACTTCCCTCAAGTGTGGGCTCTGCACCAATCTTTGTAATAACACTCCCCACCCCACCCCCTTTCCGAGAGCAAACACACCTTCCAATCACAAACAAAAGGGAGCAGAGGAACCGCACGAGAGCCAGAGAGCCAGAGCCGAGAGTGGCAAGGTCCTGAAGCCAGGCTGCAGCCTGCGCTCTGGGCTTGAGCACCTGCTCCCCAGGGGACCTCAGGCCTCAGCGTGCCCCTCGGCCCCTGGGAATAAAGACCACAGCTGTGCCTCAGGGCAGCTCTGCAGAATAAACGAGTGACATGAGTGTAAAGCACCGGGCACACCATCAGCACGTGTCACTCCCATGTGCAGAACTGGCTGGGGGAAGAGACAGGCAACACCTGGGAGCGACCGAGACCACCGACACCTTTCTAGGGCTGTGATCCTCCAGCTGGACCCCGGGCACCGGAGCGGGAGGGCATCCTGAGCTAGGTCAGTGCTCAAACTGGGAGGCGAAGGGCCACTTTTATTGGCTTTCCCCCAGTCCGACCCAGCTGCAGTCCTACTGTGCACAACCGGTGTGCAGCTTGCTCCACATGCAACTCTCCACGCTAGTGGGACACACTCATCTTGGGAGCTGAACATGTGCTGAGCTGCCTCCTCTCAGCTCCTGTGCCTCTCCTGGCGCGGGTGGGTCACAGAGCCCCCATCTCGACCGTCCTCCCGCTTTCTCCAAAACCCCCTGTCACGGCAAGAGGACCTGCCCGAGGAACTGCCCGTGAATAACAACTGGGAGTCTTAAAAAAAAACTGACCCCAGGAAACAGCAGAAAACTCACTCCTAGGGCACGTCAGGAGCTCCCAGAAATAAGAATTAAAGGGAACAAAATGGGGAATGGCGTGTCTTGTGCCGACCGTGGCCGGCTGGCGAGGAGCACCTCGGTCGCAGGGTCCTACGTGTCTCGGCACAAGAGCCACGTGGCTCCGCGGGGTGACTGCCGCCCAGAGCACCCACCCTCCCCAGGGGCCTTCCCTCACCTTGGGGCGGTCTTCCTTTCTCAGGGCCACGGCTTCCAGCTTGGCCTCGTACTCTGCTTGCACTTGGTCCCTCTTCTTCAGCACGTTCTGTGGGGGCAGGAAGGGACGCATGTAAGAGAGTTCACGCGGGGGCCTCCAAGCCCCAGGCACCTGCTTCTGTACCCCGTTCCCCTCCTCCCGGATCACGGCACCCAGGCCCCGCCACGTGCTCCCGGTCTGGGACGGTCTGGGGCCTGGGACCTGCGACGTGGACTCGGGCGGAGGCGGAGATGTCGATGCTGTTGTGTGATTCGCGCCAACATTCTCCACCTCAGGAAGAAAGAGGGCAAAGCCAGCACAAAGGGCCTCCTAAGACACGAGCTCGGGAGAGAGAGATACTTAAGACTTACCCCCAAACCAATTCCAGGAGGAAACAATAACAATATGTAGAAACATTGTTACCACGTTTGAACAAAATACCGCTTTATCCATAATTTTCAAACTGATTTCCCACTTTAAGGAGAGAGGGAGAACCCTACTCAGAGAGAGCTTCCAGGCGTGGGAACTCAGCCCGACTCCGAGAGTGACTGAATTCGGAGGAAGGACCGCGCCCGTCGCCATGGTGATGAGAGGACTCTGGGCACAGATGAACTTTGCTGTGCAGAAAGGTGGGGCTGGGCAGGTGGCCATGCAGGAAATCCTCTGAACTGTTCGTGGAAACGTCTAATACTCCAAGCCAAGCGAGTTGGTCCCAGACAGACTGATTCGCTCACTGACCCTTGAGCCGCTCATCTGCCCTCCACTCTCACCAGGTTTGCAAGCCCCGCCCTAGGGGCCTGGCGAGGGATGGACACAGCGCGAGGCCAGAGGTGCTGCAGAAGCTGTGTGCTGGTCCTCGATCCCTGCACCCACGCGGCGAGCCCGCCAGGGTGACAGTAAATGGGCCCAAAGAGAGCCAGCTTGGAGCTAAAGCGATGAACCGGGGCCCACGACGCAACATTTCAGGACACACCCACGGGCCTGCGCAAACACGGGGTCCGAGGGACCCGAGCGAGAGAGCACCTCCCTCGGTCTCCCAGGTCTGGGCTCTGCACTGAGACGCCACCAGGTGGAGCAGGAGAGCACGCGGCGGACGTTCCAGAAAAGCATCCGCTTCACCCAAGGGTTTCTTTTTTCTTCTTCTCTTGGATGACCAACGGCAAACCAACAGTGGTGAGAATTTTCTTGCCCATGAACTCAGAAGTCACACATTGCTATAGAAGTTGCTAATCCCGCACTTTTCCTATCGGGGCCTTCCAGCAGAGCCCGAAGTCGGTGGGAGGGAGCCACTTCTCAGCGAAGCGCTGGGCATCTCCGTGTCCTGACAAGGAGCTGAAAGGTGACGAGTGACTGAATCGTGGAGAGTGCTCTGGGGACAACCTTCTGGTGGAATGTGCCGACCCAGGGAGCCTGACGTCTTCCCCTGAAGTAAGGATTTACTTCGAGAAGTGTTTTACCGTGGGAAGAACACAAGGTAAAACCAGCAGTAGCTTATTTTTCATTGTTTGCCACCCACCTTTCTCCTGAGCTCTTGGAAGCCCCCTCCCCACGGCCACCGACCTTGGAGCAGGAGCAGTGAGGCTTCCAGTTGGATGGACCTCTCTGCGGGGTGGGTGTAAGGTTCTCCCGTCTCACACGGCAGCCGGCAGCCCACGGGCTGACCGAGCTCTTGACACAGGACGCATGTGATTGAGGAACTCGGTCTCCATGTTTATTTAATTGTACTAATTTGAATTGAAACTTTTGAAGTCACCTATGGCTAGTGGCTGCCATATCAGGCAGCACGAATCTAGAGAGGAAAACCAACCAGCCAACAAATCAGGGATCCAGAAAATATTCTAAATCTCCTGGTCTGGACCCGCAGGAGCAAAAACCATAACCTCCAACCCAGAGACATACCCATGCGGTACTGCCCTTGGAGGCACAAACGTAGTAGTTCCCAGGGTGGGGGGGGGGGGGGCAATGAGACAGCAGGGAGGGGCCACTGGCCTGCTTGTGACCACCATGTGCAGCCTTCACAGATGCCTCACGTCTTGTGGGAAACAACAGCACAGGCATCCAGACAGGGGTCGGGAACACGGGTGAGTCATCCCAGCAGCACCTTCCCTGTCGGTGTGGCCAGGACGGGCAGGGATGGCAAGAGGCGCGCCAGCTCTGCACAGCGGCAACAACCCCGTGCGTCTCCTGTCCCTGCCCCCACGGCCAGCCAGGGGCCCCAAAGGTTCAGCCACACTCCCTCCCCCAGTTACCTGGGCACCCCCCCACACTCCCCACCCCCCGCCTCCTCGGCCACTGTCGCCCTCGCCTCTTTTGGGGTGACCAGGATGCTGCCTGCTCGGGCAGGCTGATGGGAAGGTTTGGGCTGACACCCCCGCATCACCGCACAGCAGGAAAACTCCCCACCACCCTGCGCGGGTGAAAGCGTGCTGCCCCCATTGGGGACACCAGAACACGAAGGAGGGACTCGGCTGAGGCCGGGCCGCCGGTTAGTGCCACCCAGGTGACTTGCGTGGGCACAACCAGGAACACACTCCGTCTTCAGCTGTAGTCTCCTCTCCTGAATGGCTTCTCTGGTGCTCTCCAATTCCCGAGTGCTCCTCCTGGCGCTTGTCGCTCAGAGGCCCCGCACTGCGGTCCAGTCCCCTCACTTTCAGTGTTTTCCCTCTAACCCTCCATCTGTCCTGTTTCACTTTATATGTGATTTCCTTAGTTTTTTTCCTTCTAACTCTTCAATAGATTTTTCAGAAAATTTCTATCATGGCCTTAATTTCCATGAGCTCTTTGTTCTCTGGATTTTTTTCTTAAAAATCTTGTTTTATGGCTATGACATCTCTTTTCTTTTTGAGATGTTGATAATTTTTTTTTTCCTGGGAAGTTTCTTCTCTCTCATTGATGTTTCGGTCAATATGCTTTTTCTTCTTTGCTTTTACTTCATAGTCATAGAGACTCCTGTCTGTCCACTAATCCCTAGGGGAGACCCTAAAAACCTGACCGAGCGCTCCCTGCACGTCAAGGGCTTGCTGACAGCTCTCTCCAGGGGCTCTGCTGGGGCATGTGGTTGGGGGTTTACCCCTCCCCTCAGGATCAGTATCTCCCCGTCTCTTCTCCTGGTCTCGTCAGAGTTTTCTAGAAAAGGCTCCTCTAGTCTTGCAGGGAAGACAAAAGGCCGAGAGCCAAAGGGAGAGAGATGGCTAAGAGTCTCAACACGCAGAACCTCTCACCTCACATCCCGACTTGAGGACTTTTGCCCCCGCCCTCAGCGGTGCCTGGGGTCCGGGACCCTCTATTCCCCACCCCCTCCCCGAGGATGTGCCTGCCAGCGTGGGGAAGGGATGGTGGCTTTTATGGGGGGTGGGGTAGGGGGGAGAAGAGAACCAGAAGCTCTAACTGCTTCCTGGGCTCCTAACTAGTTTTTTTCCTCAGCTCCTGCTCTCCCCAAGTCCCGGAGGTACCTGTGCTCCCTGTTCTGAAAAGTTCCACAGCGTAAACAGGCGGCTCCTCGGTGTGACCCCGCCATGAGCTCCTGTGGCGGCTCCTGGGGTCACCGAGTCCCCTGTCACTGCTAAACTTGCTTTTTAGTCCCCCATCATACTGCTACTGTTTCCCCTCCTACTGTTCTTCGTTCCTGCATGGTTTTAAAAAATTGTTCTGGGGTCATTTTGGCTCAATTTCATGAAGAACTGGAAGTTAAAAAATGGATTCAGTCTGCCAGCACTGGGCATCTCAGAGGTGCCCACGTCCTGCTTATTACACTTCCTGGTTTTTAAAAAGCATCTGAGGTCGTGTACATGTCTACATCCCACTTCTTCATATTTTCAAGAATTTGGGGCCTCGATCTATGATCACTTTTGTTTAGAAAGGAGGGTTTTTCTTCCCTAACTCAGTCTTCTAGGAGATCCCATTTTTAGGGTTCTTTAAAATTTTTATTTATTTAATTTTAGACAGAGGGGAAAGGAGGGAGAAAGAGAGGAAGAGAAACATCAATGTGTGGTTGCTTCTCATGCGCCCCCTACTGGGGACTTGGCCTGCAACCTAGACATGTGCCCTGACTGGGAATTGAACCAGAGACCCTTTGGTTCGCAGGTTGGTGCTCAGTCCACTGAACCACACCAACCAGGGCCTCCTTTTTTAATTTTTGAAAGGCACCAGAACTAGTCAACCTAAAGCAGCAATTTTCAACCTTTTTCATTTCGTGGTACATATAAACTACTATAATTCTGTAATCTGATAAAAAAATAGATACAATTTGATTCACTCACACCAGGTGGTTATTGTTGCTTTGGCTGTTGTAATTGTTTTATTTGACAATCTAAGGGAAAAAGGGGTCAGTGCCCTTGACTAAACAGTCAGGTATTATTGCATGTTTTAAAAATTCTTGTAGCACACTGGTTGAAAAATCTCTGACCTAAACCATAAACTAGTTACTTGACTCGTTAGCTCCACCTTGTGGCCTCTGAGGGAAAAGGCAGGCAGGCTGAAGAAACTATATCACAGTTAACTATATGGCATTTGAGTATCTGTAATGCAAAGACCAATTCTGTCTTTAAACGCAAACTTACGCATCCACATATGAGACCTCTAATCACAATTACAAATGGCTTCCATATTATTAAATCCAATGGTTTATCACATTCTTTCTTCTAAGAACATTTCTCTGGGCTTCACTGAGATCATCTTTTTTTCCCTCCTACTACACTGACCATTCCTTCTCCTTTTCTACTTGCTCCTCCTCCTCAGGTGCTCGCCCACGAAATATTGCCATGCCTCAGGGCGCAGACCTAGACTGTTAGCCTCAGTCTCCCCACTGGATGATCTCCCCAGCTGTCACAGATTTAAACGCCACCTATATACAAACAGCCCCCAAGCTTCTGTTCCCACCCTGAACCAAACTCAGCAGGAGCAGCTGCCATGACATCGCTACTTTAATGACCAACTGGCATTTGTTGGACTCAACATGGCCAAAACAATTCGATTCCCACCTGCCCAAACTCCTCCTCCCAGACTTCCCCGCAGCAATAAACAGCACCCCCGTCCTCCCAGCTGCGGAAGCCAAAACCCAGGAGCCGTTCTCAGTCCCTGCCTTTCTTACTTCACGTTAATACGGCAGCAAGTCTGCTTGGCCCCTCCTGTGAAACACACCCCCCACCCACCCACTCCTCCACCACCGCTTAGCTCAAGCTGCAGCACCTTGGGCATCCGCCACTCGGGCACCTGCGGCAGACTCCGCACCTGGCCTCGCTGCCTCCACTCGCACTGTCTACAGCCCGCTCTCCGAGCTGCAGCACCAGTTGTGGTCTTCTGTGAGAAGTGTCTCCTATCATCCCCCTGCATAAGCCAGAGTGCTTCTCTTTTATTCCTGAGAATAAAATCCAGACTCTCCGCAACCACGGCCTTCAACACACCACCATACGTCCTGGCCCCATCTGCCTCTTGGGCCTCGCCTCCTCCCACTTCCTCCCTTGCTCACCGGGCCCCACTCACACCGGACTTCTTGACCTGCACACACACCACGCTCATCTCTGCTTTAGAACCGCCGCTCCTTCCACCTGAAATGCTCGCTCCTATGTGTCGCTCCTGAAGCCATTTCCTCTACCCGGCCCTTCCCTACCAGCCACTCTCCTCTCCTCTCGCCCTGGTCATTCACCAACACCTGAGACAACTGTGCTCTTTGACGTGTCTATATATCGGGTTGGCCAAAAATTCTATTTAGTTTTTGAGATAAAATAAAATATACACTTTCCATGTTCACCAATCACTTTATTGATTGGGATATCTGCAGTACGTTGGCTATCTCCTGCATGGTATAACGCTGATTGTTCTCAATGTCTCAATTTGATCTCTATCAACTTCAGCTGGTCTACCTGACCGTGGAGCACCGTCCAGCAAGAAATCTCCAGCACGAAACTTCACAAACCACTTTGACACGTTCAATCAGTCACAGCACCTTCTCCATACACTGCACACATCTTTTTTTTGCATTTCAGTTGCATTTTTACCTTTCTTGAAACAATAAAGCATTATATGCCGAAAATGTTGCGTATTCTCTTTCATCTTCAATATTAAAATGGCTACACAAAAATTCACCAATTTTGATGTTTTTCAATGCACACTGATATGACAGCTGTCACAATACACTCTAACAAAATTGTTTCAAATGAAGCGAAAGACAACTAAGTGCTACTGGAGCCATCTTATGGAAAAAAACAAACACACTCTTTGGCCAACCCAATACTATGCACTGTAATGTCCCAGGACCATGGGTGCATCAGATACTCAGTCTGGCAAGGGGAAGGGAGCATTTTTTCTTTATTTTCTAGAGAGCAATTTTTATGAGGGGTATCTCTATACAAGAGACAAGTTTAAGGACATCCCTGGGATTGTAAACATTTATGTCTGTTTACAAAACAGATACTATTAACCTATTAACTTTATAAGTACAGCAAAATATTCTGGTTCATTTTAAACAAGTCAGGAGGCCTTTTTATTGATATACAAATCACATAAAACATCACTTTAATGTGAAAGTTTTATGTATGTATGAAAGTTTCAGGTATGTATGATGATTTGACGATTTGTGTACATTGTGAAATGAGAGTAGTTAACATCCATCGGCACACATGCAATAGTTAAATTGTTTTCTTGTGATCACAGCTTTTAAGACCCACTCTTAGCAGTTTTCAAGCACACAGCACAGTCAGAACTGCAGCCACCGTGCTGTGCCTGCGTCTTTAGTCTGTGCCTTTAGATCCCCACCGCCCATCTGCTCACACCCTCCCACAGAATGCCTTCCTGTACTTGTTTCAGCCACAGAACTGAACATGCAGTGTGTAGATCTCAATGAAGAAAAAAACGAGATGTAATGGAGGAGACTGGGGCACAAACCTGGAGTCGGACGCCTTGGTTTTCGGCCTCTGTTCCAATAATCCCCAGCAGAGCTGCCTCAGGGTAATGATCTCGTGTGTGAGTTTCATCCTCATTATCATCACGACCAGTATGTCCACGGCACAGGCAGGGAGATTTATACCATTTCCCCCGATCATTGTGAGATCCAGACCTGGTCCTGTCTTCGAAGGTGTTTTATTAGCAGCTCTGCAGAGTGCATGCGAGACAGTGGTTCACCCCACCAGCAACAGGCTCCACTTGCCATCACTCACACTTCACCACGTGTTGAGAGCCTTAAAACTGCGTAGTTTTAAGGAACTTCTCTGATGGAGCAAGGGTGAGGGGGATATGAGAGCTCACCATACTACTGTTTGCTGCTTCTGTATATGCTTGCAATTTTCCGTTAGAAAGTTTTTATCACCAGTTGGTTCTTTTTTTTTTTTTTTTTACTCTTTCACAGAACCCAAGTTGACTGACAGGCTTCTATCTAGAGATTCGTCAACCCCAACCCACAGAGGTCTCCTCGGAAAGCAGAGAGGGGGCTACCTGAAGACAGGATGTTCAGCCCCAAGCCACCCACCCCCGCTGTTGGTCAGGAGGACCGACCCTTCCCTCTGATGGTGCGGGCCTCCCCACTCTGCAGCTGCGCTCTCCAACCCGTCTGTGTACAGGCTGGGGCAGTTTCTAGTGTGGGCGTTAGGGCGTTTGATCCTAATCACCTTCGTCCTAAACTATTCCAGGCATAGGCTTCGGGTTGGTTCTCTGTCCATTCCTCTCGCTGGGCAATTAAAATGTCCTTTCAATCTGAAGACTCGTGCCCTTGGGCCTGGGGAGAGCTCCTTCTATTATTTCTTTCACAACTTCCTTCCCTCAGTTCTCGCTGTTATCGCAACCAGAAACTCCTATCGGTCGGATGTGCTGAGCCTCTGGGACCAGTCCTCCATGTCTCTTCCCTTCTTTCACCTTTTCAGTGTTTTTGCGTTTTTTGCTCTACTTTCCAACAACTGTTTTTGTGCATTTTACTTTCCGAGATTTCTTCATCCTCATCTTCCGACTTTACTGTTCAATTTTATTTCGGCAGTCGTGTTAACTTCCAAGAGCTGTAATTACCCAATTTCTTTTTTCCCACAGCATCCTGTGCTAGTTTAATACCCTTTACACCCCCTTGAATTCTCAGTGAGCACGAGTAAGAATTCCTTCCAAAATATTTTTTCTTTCACTAAATTCACACACTTTGTTCGCCATGGGTTCTATTTATATGCCCACAGTGTCAGTTCACATGTCTGATCCTGCCCACCCAGGACAAAGGAGACCTGTACCACATGCAAATGGGCAATAATCGGTTACTTTTGGGGTGACAGCCACCACAAGGAAAGTCCCCAGGTCCCCAGGCAGCAAGCCAGCTCACCTTCATGGAGTCGGAGTACAAGACGTACTCCCGGAGCACAGGCAGGAAGTCTTCGGTCATGTCGTCCGTCAGCTCTTCCAAGGCGGTGGAGCAGTTGCCGATGCAAGCCGACACCCCCTCCAGCGGCTCAGCCAGCTCCCCCTCCAGGGCGCTCCACGTGGAGTACACAGGCCCATATTCTCTCAGCTCCACGAGGTACTCTAAGGGCGGGGGGCGGGGGAGAGACACCAGTAAGCTCCGGCTGGGCAGCAATCACTGGTATTACTGACTCGGTAACCCGTGCAGCCAGGAGCTCTCGACAATAAGATGTGTCTCCTCGGCCATTCTCTCCCCTGAGCACGCTCTCCTTTAAACACAGCACCACTTGTAACAATTCTTTAAATTTATTTTTTAGAGAGAGAGAAAGGGAGAGAGAAAGAAACACTGATGTGAAAGAGAAACATCCATCAGTTACTTCCTATACACTCCCTGATCTGGGGGTTGAACCTGCAACCTAGGTGTGTACCCTGACTAGGGATGGAACCTGCAACCTTTTTGGGGGTACAGAACAATGCTCCAACCAACAGAGCCACCAGCCAGGGCATAACAACTTTTAAAAATCTCTAAAAGCTGATGGTACGATTAAGATCAAAACGTGAGTCAACCCCACCCTGTAATGAGAACGCCACGCCTCTGGATAATGGGGACCATAACACCTTCCGGGGAAAAGTGACTGGAGCTGTACCCACCAAGTGCCTTCAGAAATAAACACTCTCCTACCCACACAGTGAAGCAGTATTCTAACAACGGTGGCAGAGTTTCTATAGGTTTAGGGGAATGTTTTTATAAAAAATGTATTGATTTTAGAGAGAGAGAGGCAGAGAGAAACATCAGTTTGTTGTTCCACTTTATGTAGTCACTGGTTGATTCTTTCATGTGCCCTGACTGGAAATCGAACTCGAAATCTTGGTATTATTGGGATGATGCTCTAACCAAAAAATCAGTCACGATGGAAAAGCAATGGAATCTTAAGAAACATCTGCTACAGGATATGTGGTCTCCCCTAGGCAGAATCTCTCCCTCACACAGGGGTCACCCAAACACCAGGTCCTTAGGTGTGGATGGTACCTGAAGCTCCCTCCAAAACCTGCGGGCCCCACATGATACCATTGATAGGAAAAGGAGAATTAAAGCCCAGGAAACAAGAAAAAGTGTCATTTCCCCTCACAAAGGAACTCTGGGCCACCGTATTTCACCAGGACTCTGGCCATGACACTAAACTGCCGTGGCCACTTTTTCAGCAGCCAATGGGTGGCAACTACTGGAGAGTCCCTTTCGATGTGTTTCACGTCACGTGCCCGGCACGATCACTAATGCCCCTTGGATCTATCTCGCAAAAGGCCCCGACAGTCCGGGATGCAGAAAAGCAAGTGGCCACGAGACAGGTGAGGAGGAAGCGGTGGTGACAACGAGGAGGAACACAGGCAGACAGGCCTCGAAACTCCCCAGGTCGGGAAGAGTGGGTGTGAAAGGCAACCCGGGTGGGGCAGGCGAGTCCATTTCCAGCCGGAAGGCTCGTTAGCATCACAACTTGAACAAGCACAGGTCACCATGCTGCCCCTTTGAATCATCTTTCTGCCAGAAAAGATAGGCGAGTTTACTTTCCGTGAACTATCACTCCTATGAATGAAGGGAAATTGAGTCCGTGTCTGCACTTTTGAAGCTAAAGTTAAGAGGAAAACGGGAGAGCCTGCGTGCGGAAGCACGGCTGTTCGCGCTGGGGAGAGCAACCGCGGGGCTGCGATGCAGGGCAGAGCGTGCGGGGCACGGGATTCTCCTCCGGTCACAGGCGCCTCCTCCCCTCCTGGTGTGTGTGTGTGAGTGTCATACGCAAAATGCGGCCTCGTCCTGCCTCTCCACCACTTCTGCAGCCCGATCTTCCTTAGCGCACACGAATCCGTTTCTGCAGGTGTGGTCCCTGCGCATGCCCAGAACCTCAACAGAGAGCTCACCTATTTCCTCTTTGATGATCCGCTGGGCTATCCGATCTATGGTTCCCAGTTTGAGCGCAAATGTGTCTAGGTATTCGCCTATGGCTGCAAACTCCAGAGGCCGACTCCTCAGCTTGTAGCCGCCGGTGACGTGCTTGACCGACTCGCCCACGCGGGTCAGCAGCGCCATCCCTTGCTTCTTGTGGGCGTTCAGGTCCTAAGGGCGACACAGGAACAACCAAGCCCAGAGGGCTCAGTCACTCACACAGCCAGAACGCAGTAACCAGCTCCCTCGGGCAACTGCCGCCTGGCAACAGAGGGCTCAGAACACAAGGAGCCGAGCTGGAGGGCCCAGCCACAGGCACCCAAGGGCCCTCTCTTTGCCATCACAACCCGCAGGCTCACGGCCCCCTTTCCAACGAGGTTCACTCGCCTGAGCGTGCTCTCTCCTTTAAACAACACTGTGTCTCCAACATCACTTTTCAACACGGTTGCCCAAAACCCAGAAGTCCCTTTCTTCTTCGCAAAATATCCTAAGTTGTCTTTAGAACCAGAATTCGGGAGCTGAAATTCACTCCATTCACTTACTCATATCTCAACCAAAGCCAAGTAAGAGGAGGAGAGGGTAAAGGGGGGGGAGCCAGAAGAGGGGTCAGAGAAGCCAGCGCTGGAAACTCAGCGCAGGGGTGGGCAGGGGCTGTAAACAACCAAATGTTGCCTCCCGGGCTTCTCGGTCAAGGCACAGACGGGGAATAGGTTGAGCCACGTAATGAACTGGGTCCAAGTTTAAAAAGCACGTCAGTCTGCCGGCTGAAGGGAGCTGCAGCCTATCGGTAAAGTTGAAGAGGAAGTGACAGTATCTTCAGGTTGTTCCAGGTCCCTAACTTGAATGGTGCCTCCACAAACGGGTTTTACGGAAGATGCAGGGGTCTGTTCCTCATAGTCACTCGCCGCACAAACAGAAGGGCATGTCCCCGGGGAAGATCAGGCGATGTGACACCAGGGCATGGCTTTCTGCAGACCCAGCCCAACGCAGGAACGGGGCAGGGAATCACGGTTACCGCAGCTGCCCAGCAGCCTCCCTGCCTCTGACACACAACGGTAGGCTCAGATCTCCACGGTGTCTGATGTGTAGGCTCCTCCCGATTTCACCTCCTTCCTTCTCCATGCAGGCAGGGCCTTCACCTTTGTTCCTGACTGCACCCTTTCCCATCCACCCCGCCGCAACACAGGCCCTTGCCCTAGCAACAATCCTCCCCTCTCCTGTCTGCATCTTCAACTTTGAATCCTTCAGCATATAAACTCCAGCCAAGGCTCACCCCTCTTAACAACAGCAGAAGTCACCTCCAGCCCCCTCCTCCGCCTCTCTCCTTCTTTGCAAAGTCAGGATGTCGGAGAGAAGGTTCTAAAGATTCCATTTCTCCTTCTAGCCACATACATTCTAGACATAAAATATCCTCATAGGCACCAGGCTTGCACAAGACCATAATAAAGCTTTGTCATTCTCAGGACTGATTCCACAGATAGTATTTTGCAGAGTGGGGCTGGATCCAGAAGGGCTTGTTGGACTGTACAAGCTCTGTTTAGAGTAGACCTGTGAAAGGGTAGCCGCAGTCATCCAAGTTAATTAACACGCTGGCTGCAGCGCCCATCTGATTGCTGAGCCCTTTCTGCCACAGATGAAAACACTGATTTGAACACAATGGGTGCCGAGTGTCCCCCACCTCTCCCAGCATTCCTGGCTGCTGCTTCAAGGCACTTCTGGTTTGTGATAAGAGCCTGTCGTCACAGGGAGAAGAAATGCTTCTGCACTCGCTGTGGCAGGAGGCGTGTAAGTGGGCAATTCAAGAACAAGACCGAGTTGTCGGCAGCGTTGAAGGAAAGGATTTGGGGGGCAGAATCTGGGGGAAGAAAGAGATGGGAAATCGAGGAGTCCACACTTCAGTTCAGTGTGGCAAGATGAAGAAGTTCTGGAGGTCGGCGTGCAGCAGTGTGAATGTACCTCACACTGACGGGCTACGTTCTGAGAAAGTCAAGACAGTAAATTTTGTTATGTGTATTTTGCCACAATTTTAGATAGAGAAGATGGGGTTATTCAGTGCATTTAGTTCAGCAAATAACACTGAATTAGGCTTAGACTTTGTTCTGTTTAAACAAACCAACTCCCTTCACTCACTCACATGAACTTGGATTTTAATTAAGACACCAAAGGCCTATTTTTAGTCATCCACACTGCTTGGCCCGCAGGTGAACTCCACAGACACACACACACACACACACACACACACACACACACACGCAATCTTCCTACTTATTCTTCACACAGTGTCCCAGTCACCAGGGCTCCGACTCCGCCCCCCCCTCCCACTTTTGTCTCTGTGTAATTAAAATGACTAAGCTGGAGGGCCTACCTGGCCGGGCAACCTACAACTTGGGAGAATCGGTGAGTTGCTCTTTGGGGACCGCAGAAATGGAGTTTACTTTGTGTATAAGCTGAGAGAACTATATCAAGGATCAGCTCACCAGGAAATACTGATTTAAAAGCTAACACACGTTTGACCTGTGGGGAAAAGGCCTCCAGGGAAAAGGGAAGATGGGCAGGAATGTCATCGATGAGGCTAAACGCCAACGGAGGTTTTAGAGAAAAATCGCCCGGACACTGAAGGACTTTGCCGCGTGGTTTCCAGTGCCCGGGGACTGGCGCCCTCTCAGGAGGCTTCAGTGTCACTGAGGCCATCTGTAACTGTCTCTCAGTTTCTGCCTTTTCAGAAAGGAAGACTGGAAAGCCCCTGGGCCTCGGTACCCTTGCCAACGTGGGAAAAACTACCTACGTCCTGAAGGGGGAACCTGACAGTGAAACTACACAGGAGGAGCTGGACGGAAGCGGCATGGGGTCCCGCTCCTGCAGACACCAGGAGGAGAGTGCCGCGGGTTTCCCCGGCCAGGTCTGCCAACAGGGAAGTACAGAGAGAAGCTGGCAAGTTGCCGAGTGGAGTTTGAATAAACAGAACCTGGTGACCGCATAGAACCCAACTACTTCTCTGGCAGAGGCTTGGAAAAGGCCCACCTGATCAAAAACTTGGCCACGGCCAAGTGATACCAAACTACTCGTGGTCAGGCAGTCTGTTCCAGAGACCAGGCATGGCCTCGGGGGCCACAAAGACCCAACTTCAAATCCCAGTGATGCCACCTGGACAGGTGCAAACTCCCTGAACATCAGTTTCCTCCTCTGCGCGGGGCTCCCATGAAGAATGTCCTCACCAAACAGCTGTCCTTACCCTTGCATGCCCACCGTGGGTCAGAACGGCCTCACTCGGTGGTTCGCCAACAAGTGTTTAAAGAAACCCTTACCCCTGCTCCTGCAAAGTGAAAACATCTGAGCTTCCTCTGCTGCTGCAAGGCTGTGTTTGCTCCTGAATTCAAGCACAGTAACCATGCTACGCAAAAAGGTGCCAAAAACTCAGCAGCCACCGCCTGACAGCCACTACAGCGGCCACACGTGACGGTGGCTTGTGCGAGACGGAGGCGGCCCTGAACGGAGAGCCCGGAGAATGCCGGTCGCGGGGAAGGAACAGGAAACACCAGCCCTCACCTTAGCAGTAAGGAAAACATTAAAGTGTTCATTGAAAGAAAGCACAGGATGATCCGTAATCCTTTTCAGGAATTTATCCAAAGCTTTTCTCCTGGTCTCCACGAATTCTTCTGAAAAACGATCCACAACACCTTTCACCACAAACTTCTCCGGCAGCGGCTGTGAAGACAGGAAAGAAAAATGTTCAGAGCAGTTGACAGAATGGTGCAAAGACGAACCAGCAGGCTAGCAAATCATTCCTCTGACCCATGTGCCCCGATCAGTATTTCTCAGCCAGTCTGATCCTTATGTCGCTAGTCGTCCATGGAAACCCTTTTGAAAAATGAATGGATGGAATAAATCAAGACGACGCTGTCAATGTTCTCATGCAAGGAATAAAACACTAGAGCGTCGTTCCTGGAATACAGGGAGCAGCCAGTCAGTGGTTCTCCAGCGAACCCAACAGTTATGTTACCAACTGTACGTCGTTGCTCGGTGGGCAGAAGACATGATGAAAAAGTTAGGGCCAGAGGAAACAGTCTACGGGAAGACGGCAGACAACATCGACCACACAAAGATGTGTTTAAGTAGAGAAAGATGCTGCTCCCAGTTCAAGGGGTAAACTTGGTGGATGGAGAAATAAGTATATGAGGCAAACCCATGTTATCTAAAAACATACCTTTCCTCCACTTTTTTTATTTGCTTAGGTTTATACTCACGAGTTCTTAAGAATGTAACTTTCGTTACTTCTCTTACACAAACAAATTTCTCTCATATTTTCTTTGAGTCAATATCATGGGCCATTTCAAACTACCGGGCTACTACAGGATCTCTGAGCTTCACCATTTCTGTAGTAACCTGATCGAATGCTGGGTTTAAAGGCCTTCCTCATTACTGCCACCACAGGGAAAGGGAGCATTTGCTAATGTACAATCTGAAACATGCAAGTTATGAAACATTAAAAGAGCATTTACACTTAAAAATAGGCAAATGATTTGGTCAGTATTTCTGCAAACAAGATAAACAAATGGCCTAATAAGCACATGAGAAGATGATCAACCTCATTAGCACTGGGGAAATACAAATCAAAACCACAATAAGATAGTCCTTCACACCACTACAATGACCGTGAGTTAAAAAAGAAAGAAGAAAAAAAACAAGTGTTTGTGAGGATGTGAAAAAACTGGAATCAGCATTTAAGTTCACAACCTCTTCAAACTCCATAATATACAGATATTTTTCTTTTAAGTTACAACAACAACAACAACAACACACACACACACACACACACACACACACACACAGAAAACAACACCAACAGAAATCAGATATGGCAACAAGGACTTAGCCAACCCCAGAAAGTGGAATACTAAGGCACTTAGAGTGGGAAAGTTGAGAAGCAACCCAGACTGATAACACGAAACCTTTGAAAGACTCAGGAACGGGCAGCGCCAGCCCCCCACCCCCACCCCCACCCCCACCCCGGAAATGAAGTACTTGGGCTGCGTGGGAATTTGAATGCCTCAGCCTGAAAGAGCTTTACAAAGTCAGTGTGTTTCAGTTCTCCAGAGTCAAGACTCTGGTGCCGTGCCTCCTGGGACCGTCTCTGCCCTCTGCCGAATGGTTTGACTTTGGTCAAGTTCTATACTCTCTTGCTACCTCAGTTTTTTCATCTGTTAAAAGTAGGTAACAGCACCAACCTCAGGAGGATTCAGGGAGCTATGAGGGTGGCTGTGCTTCCAACAGCTCCTGCCACTGAGCGGTCACTTGGCAGGAGTTGGCGTCTTTTTGGCTGTAGGAGTGGCAGCAATGCCAGGGGACCACTAATCTTCAGGGACAGCCAGGGTTCAGTTAAAACTTGAGATGGTGGGAGTGTTCGGAGAACGAGCTAAGAATTAAGAGACTTCTTTTTCACAGAGATGGAGTTCTGGAGTGCACAGTGGGAAGGTTTGGTAATAAAGGGAGGGAGGGGAGCAGAGTCAGGAATACAGTGGCAGAGCCACACGGGGATAACACGTCCAAGTCACATACCCGGTAGAGCCCATGCTTGCGTGGAACATTAGAAATGCATGACTCGGTCAGATGCAGAAGGCCCCCCAGCCCAGGGTTCCGGTGTCAGAGAAGCTGCCTTCATAGGAAAGGGTCGTCCTTTAGGATAATTCCTTTATTCTGATCTATTCTTTCATTTCCTTAGACAGCCGCCCTCCCAAAACCCTACACTGAAACTTTCATGCTGAGCAGATTACCGTCTCTCCGAAGGAGGAACCAGGTGCAAGGGCATCACATGGAAATTACCTAACCGCTTTGCTTCCTCCACAGAAACCCATCTACTGGGCACCACCCTCGCCTCCATTCCTCAGGTCCCTTTGGAACACATACTCCATCCGCCCCAGAGCTAACTCTGCCATCTGTGTCCTAGACCCATTAGTTCACTGGGCTGTGGCTGTCATCGTCAATTAATTATACCTTCTCCTCAGCATCTTCACCATCGCCGCCTCATCCGGTTTTGCTCCCTGAGTCTACAAAAATATAGCTAATTCTCCTTCTTTTTTTTAACCCTCACCCAAGGACATTTTTTAAATTGCTTTTGGAGACAAAGGAAGAGAGAGAGAGAGAGAGAGACGTGAGAAAGAAACATCGATTGGCTGCCTCTCATACACACCAGACCCGGGACTGTACACGACCAGACCTGGGATCAAACCCGAACCCTGGGTATGTACCCGACCGGGAATGAAACCTGCAACCTTTCGCTTACCGGATGATGCTCCAACCAACTGAGCCACCTCGGCCAGGGCTGGTTCTCCCTCTTTCTACCTGAGAAAAGTAAATCCAACTATCCCTTCACCTTACATCCTCTCCACTCCCCTTCTGGTCTCATTCAACCTTTTTGAAAAAACCTTTTATCCTCACTTCCACTTTTCCGTTGACTTCTCTGCCCTCACCCTTCCTCCACTCCCAAACAAAGCTGTCTTCGGTACTGCCTTCAATGCTGCATGTCTCTGCCATTTCCCCACCCGAATGCAGAAACTGTCGTTTTAAAGATGAGCAGTAACTTTCTCACTACCAAATCCAGTGGATAGTTCTCCATTCTTACCTCATTAGTCCTATTGAGCACACTCTCATTTGTTTATGCTAAACAGGACTGGGGGGGGGTGTGAGGGTGTAAGGGAGAGGCCTAATGAGCAAATAAGTGGTTAGGTATGCCTCATTTAACATTATAGATAACCTCCTGAAATAGTTACCCAGTCTTCAGATTTAATGTATTGAACTTAATGTTTAATGAATCAGGGAAGCCTGCTATTTAAAGGAACCCTGGGGTGAATTCTTCTGCAAACAGAAGTTCCTTCTGTAACAAGCAGTATTATTCCCAATGTACATGATTTCAGAAATTTGTTTTTCCTATTTCAAGCTTCCTTAAAGGGACACACCTACTTTCAGCCTCACCTTTACGATTACCTTCTTAGTTGTTTACTCGAAGGAATCTGGGTTGCTAGTGAAACCAGGGGCATCTATCCTCTGTAAGTGAGACCAATTAATGTAAGTGAAGAGCTTAACACAGCTCCCAGCGCATGGCGGACGTCAAATGGATGCCATCTATTTTTATAAATTTGTAAGCACTGAACACAGAAAGCAAACAAAACAAAACAAAACACAGTAGCATGAACTAAAGGGTGGAACTTCCATTTATCTTTTGCCATTTCACACCACTAGGATGGCTATAAAAAATAAAAGGAGCCTAACAAGCGTTGGAGAAACTGCAATCCTCACACCTGGCTGGCGAGACTGTAAAATGGTTCAGCCACTGTGGGAAAGTTTGGTGCATCCTCAAAGAATTAAACACATGATCCAACAACTCCATTCCTTGGTATAAGTGAAAGCAAGCGTTCGAACAAAGACTTGGACGTGAATGTTCAAGCAGCACTATTTGCAACAGTTGGGCTGGGGGAGAGGAATGCACAGTGATCGTTCAACGGGTACGGCATTTCTTTGGGGGGCGACAGAAATGTTCTGGAATTAGATATCAGTGGCCATCACAAACACTGTAGAGACCATTCGGTTGGCATCCCATCCTGCCCCTACCTCTTCCTCCCCACTCCATCCCCCCCCCAAAATATATTTATTCATACACACACACACACACACACACACACACACACAATGAGTGTATTCAAAGCCACAGAACTGTACACTTTACCGTACCCGTTAAAATGGTGGCTTTTATCTCAGTAATAACAATCAAAGATGTGGTGACGGAAGATGTCAGAGAGGAGAGAAGCGGCTATGCTGCCAGCTCCGAGGGTGGGAGGGCGCCAGGCGCCAGGAACGCTGGCGGCTTGGACGCTGGAAAAGCCGAAGAACAAATCCCGCCCTGAAGCCTCCAGAAGACACGCAGTCCTGCCTGCCCCACGGCGGGGACCCACTGACACCACGTTTGGACTTCTGATTTCAGAACCAGAAGATGATAAATTTCTGTTACTTAAGTTGCTTTTTAAAGACAAGTCACCTGGCATGGGAGCGAGAAAGTGGGTAGGATAGAGATCAAACAAAATTGGCCAAGGTTGGTAGATGTTGAACTTTGGTGATGAGTACATGAGGGTTCACTGCACTGAATCGCCCTCCTTTAGTATTATTTGACATTTTCCATAATAAAACTGTTTTTTTAAACTGCAAATACATATACAAAGGTGGGCAAAAGTAGGTTTACAGTTGTAATACTAATAAAATAATACGTAATAAATAATACATACAAGAATAAGCTCTGTTTCGTGCATTCACAACTGTAAACCTACTTTTGCCCCCCTTGTATATGTTGAGACCTATCAAAAATTTTATTTGCATAGCATTACAATAACCCTTTAAACATTTCAAGTCTTATTTATTTTTTAAAGATTTTACTTATTTATTTTTAGAGAAAGGGGAAGGAAGGGAGAAAGAGAGGGAGAGAAACATCAATGTGTGGTTGCCCCTCAAGCACCCCCTACTGGGGACCTGGCCCACAACTCGGGTTTGGGCCCTGACTGGGAATTGAACTGACAACCCTTTGGTTCGCAGGCCAGCACTCAGTCCAATGAGCCACACCAGCCTAGGCTAGCATTTCAAGTTTTAACCTTAAAATATTTACATTTTTATAGCACTTGATACTTTGGTAAAACACTTTCACATGTATTTCACTAATTTAT